AATGGGGAAGACAAAAACATTTTTAAAAAAACCTACTGGGGGTGCCTGGGTGGCTCACTTGGTTAAGCGACTGCCTTCAGCTCAGGTCATGATCCTGGAGTCCCGGGATCGAGTCCCGCATCGGGCTCCCTGCTCGGCGGGGAGTCTGCTTCTCCCTCTAACCCTCCCCCCTCTCATGTGCTCTCTATCTCTCATTCTCTCTCTCTCTCTCAAATAAATAAATAAAATCTTTAAAAAAAAAACAAAACCTGGGCGCCTGGGTGGCTCAGTCGTTGAGCGGCTGCCTTCGGCTAGGGTCATGATCCCAGGGTCCTGGGATCGAGCCCTGCATCGGGCTCCCTGCTCAGCGGGAAGCCTGCTTCTCCCTCTCCCGCTCCCCCTGCTTGTGTTCCCTCTCTAGCTGTGTCTGTCTCTGTCAAATAAATAAATAAAATCTTTAAAAATAATAATAATAAAATAAATAAAATTTTAAAAACCTACTGCATTTCCTAGTTGTGTAATCACAAGCAAGTTTCATCTTCATCTTTTTGTTTTAACTTATGAAAATATTCAAACATGCTCAAAATAGAAAGACTAGAATAATTAAAATGATACATTCATCACCAGTTTAAGCAATTTTCAACATTTTGCTAATACCGTTTCATCTCCCTTCCTCAACACTTTTTCCCCCTAAGGTATTTTAAAGTATATTTGGGCAAGTTGTTTTAAAGCTCTCTGTGCTTCAGTTTTCTCATCTAGGAAATGAAGGTTTTAATATCTAATTCATGGCGTAGACCTGTAGCTATTGTTATTTATGGTGGTATCTACGTGCACTGTCCCCCTGAGGCATAAAAGCATTTTGCAGCGTAGCGCGCCTGGCTCAAGACCGCGCTTCCTCAACAGCCGGGAGGAACCGGAGTCAGGCGTGGCTGAGACTACGATGCCCTCTTCAGGCAGCCCCCGCAGAACCTCTCGGGCCGGATGAGGATTGTCCCTCGCAGCCCCCGTCGCCGCGCGCGAGAACGAGGGGCGGGAACAGGAAATGGGATGGGGCCGAGTTCCGGGCGCCCGGCGACCAGTGAAGAGACCAGAGTGTGGCAGCTGGAAGCCGGGGAGGCAAAGCCATGTTCCGAATCGAGGGCCTTGCGCCGAAGCTGGACCCCGAGGAGATGAAACGGAAGATGCGCGAGGATGTAATTTCGTCCATACGGAACTTTCTCATCTATGTGGCCCTGCTGCGAGTCAGTGAGTGTCCTTCCAGGCTGCGGCCATGACACCCGCGGGGAGCTCGGGGACACCCCCCACCCAACTCTCGTTCTCTGGGGGCCCGCGAGCTGAGCTAGCTGAGTGGTCGCGGGGAGGGTGGGACATGTGGGTCGAGATCAGCGGGCGCAGGCGCGGCTTAGGGTCTGCGGGTCGGGGTCAGAAGTACACGCGGTGGCCCGGACTGCGAGGGTGATCATCCCGCCCTGCCCTGCCTTAAGAGCGTATGAATGGAAAGAGCCTCGAGGGTTTATTTCCCCTCCCTTCCGCTCCCCTACCGAGCAGCTCCCTTGTTTTGCCGACAGAAACTTAGAGAGTAGAGAAATGGCTGACTCAAGGTCACTCAGCGATTCATTGAATGATCTTGATCTAGAATCCAGAGCTCTTAATACCAAGTTTCCTTCCTTCGGTGCTGATCTCTAAAATACAAAAAGGTTTGCTTCTTTTGCTTATTTGTACAGAGGGTGAAGTAAAGAATTGGTTTTTTTTTTGAAGGAATGAGAAGAAAAGAGTAGGAGTCTATAGGATTAATAATAACACCTGAAGGTTTATTTGAATTTACGTTTGGCAGAAGCTTATTTGCGTTAGCTGTCTTGACAGTAGCGCTTTGAGGGAGGCCGGGCTTAACATTCTGTATTCCCTTTTGCAAATGAGAACTCACCTTTCAAAGGGAGTCTTAACACAAAATATCAGAGTTAAAGACACACTGAATGTTAGAGATGGGTGCAGCTTTGTAGATCACCTCTCTAGTTTTACTGATGTGAATCTCAGAAGTGATTTGTACCCCACCCTCCAATTCTCAGTTCAGTACTCTTTTCATTGCACCTAGCTGTGTATTGCTGACAGGTCTGGGTGGAGAGGCAGGGATGATTAAAATAAATGAAGGCCATACCAAGGTTATCCTGTAGAAGGCTCAAATTGGGCCTGGGCCAGAGCTCACTGAAGCCTGGTACCCCATCACTGACTATGGTATTACCCTGCTTCCCCAGGAGAGGGAGCCCTTCTGAAAAGAAACCCAAATCCTGCTCCTTCAACAGCTTTTTGCAACTCCCAACTTATTTTATCCTCTTACCTTTTTTGTTGACTTAGCTGCCAGTAAAATATTTGCTTCTTTTCAGTGTCCTTTGTATCTGATATGAATTGGTTTCCTTAAAAAAACACAGAATACTGTTCCACATTACCACTTTTAAAATGGAGATATAATTCACATAGTATACAGTTCACCCATTTAAAGTATACGGTTCAACCTAAGTGTCTGTTGATAAATGGACAAAGAAGATGTGTGTATATACAATGGAATATTACTTAGACGTAAAACTCTTGGCCATTTGCAACAAAATGGATGGACCTATAGGCTATTAGGCTAAGTGAAATAAGTCAGAGAGAGATTAATACCATATGATTCCACTTATATGTGGAATCTTTAAAAACAAAACAGAAACGGACTGATAAATACAGACAACAAACTGTTGATTGCCAATGGGGAGTGGAGTAGGGGATAGATGAAATAGGGGAAGGGGCTTAAAAGGTACAGACTTCAGTTACAAAAGAAGTAAGTCATAAGGGTGCAATGTACAGCATAGAGAATGTAGACAGTACTGTAATAACTTCATGTGGTAGCTAAACTTATTGTGGGGATCATTTCATAATATATAAAAATATTGAATCACTATGACCATACACCTGAAACTAGTAGGATACTGTTTGTCAATTATATTTTATTTAAGAGTATAAATAATAATATTTATATTATTCCTTTTTATTGCCAAAATATTCCTTTTTATTGCCAAGTAACATTCCATTGTGTGGCTATGCCACATTTTATCCATTCATTTGATGGATGTTACTTATCTTTTTTAATCTGATAAGAATTAGAAATATCTGGACATACTGCTGACTTTGTCAGCTTTCAACAGATTTCAGTATTTTCAGTTTAATGTTAACAATATGTTCTATTACTTTAGTATGGGTATTGAGAAAGAAGATCCTTCTGGCAGCTTTTTTGTTCACAGCCCCTTTTATTTTCTAATTTTTTAAATTGTGATAAAATACATATAACAATTTGTCTTAACTATTTTTTTTAAAGATTTTATTTATTTATTTGAGAGAGACAGTGAGAGAGAGAGAGAGAGCACATGAGGGGGGGAGGGTCAGAGGGAGAAGCAGACTCCCCGCTGAGCAGGGAGCCCGATGTGGGACTCGATCCCGGGACTCCAGGATCATGACCTGAGCCGAAGGCAGTCGCTCAACCAACTGAGCCACCCAGGCACCCTATCTTAACTATTTTTAACTGTACAGTTTAGTGGTATTAAATACACTCATAATGTTGTACAACCATCACCACCATCCATCTCCAGAACTCTTTATTTTGTAAAACTGAAACTTTCTCTATGATTTTGACATCTCTTAAGGCTCTCATATAAGTGGAATCATACAGTATTTGTCTTTCTGTAACTGGCTTATTTCAGTTTGCATAGGGTCCTAACGTTCATCCATGTCATAGCATATGTCAGAATCTCCTTCCTTTTTAAGGCTGAATAATATTCCATCGTATGCCACATTTTGCTTATCCATTCATCCATCTTTGAATCTGGATAGCTTCTACATTTTAGCTACTGTGAATAATGCTGCTATAACATGGATATGCAGGTATCTCTATTTTGTATTTTTTGAGGACCCACCATACTGTGATCCATAGCAGGTGTACCATTTTACATTCCCACCAACAGTACACAAGGGTTCCAATTTTTCCACATCCTTCCCAACAGTTTGGTAGTAACTATCCTAATGGGTGTTAGGTGGTATCTCATTATAGTTTTAATTGGCATTGTCCTAATGATTAGTGATGTTAAACATCTTTTCATGTGCTTATTTTGACCACAGCGCTTTTACACAGGACAGTAGTAACACTTCGTTCGATCCCTGTGACAATATTTTTGTTTTCTAGCCATTTCTATTCGTACTCTCCTACCAGACCCTCATAAGAACTGAAATAGGACTATATTATATGTGATTTGGATTACATAAGTGATATATAGCTAATTAGTGGGAGAACCAAAATCTGCATCTAGCTCTTCTGCTTCCCCAGTGCAGTGTTGTTTTCTCCCACCCTCTGCCTTTTTTCAAATGTTTTATTTTTTTATTATTTATTTGAGAGACAGCAGGGGGGTGGGGCGCAGAAGGAGAGGGAGAGAGAGAATCCCAAGCAGACTCTGTGCTGAGCAGGGAGCGTAATGTAGGGCTTGATCTTATGACCCTGAGATCATGACCTGAGCTCAAGAGTTGGATGCTCTACCAACTGAGCCACCCAGGTGCCCCTCAAATATGTTTTAAAGGGTGAAAAATGCCAATTTGTTCCTCCTAGCATTTTGTTCCTTTGACAGTTAAATCACCCAAAGTAAAGAGATGGTCTTTTGAAGGAGGATTGAATTTACTCTTTATGGTCCTAAGAGAACTACCTGGAGAAAAGATTTTATATGGTGTAAGAATGAGCCTTAGAATAGTCAGAGCTTCATGACACTGGAAAGACAGTGAGTCTCTTTTGCTAGGTTATGCAGGCAGAGGCTTGGCCATTATTTGGAGTCATTTAAAAAATGTAGTGAACTAAATCTGTAAGATTTTTCCCCCAGTCTTATAAATTCCGTAATGTAACTTGTGGGCTAACAGATCTGAAATTCTGGGTTTGTTTATTTTTCTTTCAGCACCTTTTATCCTAAAGAAATTGGACAGCATATGAAGATGGGCATCACATGTGAATGCATGATATGAGGAACCCAGTTACAATTTCTACTCCTATCTGCAAATGAATAGGCCCAGAAAGATGTAAGAGACTCTTTGAATGGACATAAAAATTCTACTTGTTAAGAACAAGTTTGGCTCTGGTAACTGACCTTCATAGCTAAAATTTAAAACTACTTGGGAAGTAAAGACATCTTGGGTGATAATACACCCATATGCCTGTGATGTTCAGCCTCTGTGAATGTTGATATAATTGTAAGTAATGTCAAACTCCATTTTCTAGCAAGTATTAATTATAAGGGAATTATGTCTACAATAGCACTGTCTTGTTAGTCATTTCTGTTTACCTCTCACTTCTGTCTGGAGTATATATGTTGAAGAGTTCCTTATGATTAGTTATGTTTTACAGAAGCCAGCACACAGCCACAACAACACTTAAGCACAGGACGTTCAGTCTGTATTTTTAAAGTAGCAACTAAGAAAAAAATTGGGATTTTATTTCTCTTAACCTACTTTTTGCTGCAGATCTCTGTAATACTGTAATTATTACAAACTACATTAAATTGAGTTCCTCTTGTTTTGGACTGAAGGATTTGCTGATGCTGATAAAGTGACACTTTATTGTTAAGTAGTCTTTGTGAAAGGCAACATTACTGTTTGATGCTGGGAATCTATAAATGCTATTTGTTTTCTTTTCCTAGGCTTCGTTTTCTGTAAACTTAACCACTAAATCAACTAGACTCTTTGCCATATATCTAAATTGATAACAATGTTTAGTTTTACTAGGCATGCTGTTTCATCTTCTAAATAAGTCTTTCCTGGAGCTTTCTGACCTGTCCCAGTCTGGACTGTGGTCTGCTGTGCCTGATATAGGGTTATATTCTGGGATCTCCCTTCACTGCAATCCTGGGAATTCCTTTTCCTCTTCTCTCATGTTGGATCTCTTTTTTTTCCCCCCCTGTATCTTGTTTTCTTTATCTCATGACCAGTATGCATTTGAGTCTCTGTATTGAGTATAGTACCTCTGCCCATAACTGCCTAGCATCCCACAATCCAGAGAACCCTCTATTTTACCCTTTTCAGAAAATAAACTTACAATTTGGGGAAGGAGCTGGGCAATAGAGGCTGCTTAGCTACGTAGGGTTGCAGAGAGCATTCTGAATACTTAAACCTTCAACCAGTCCTTATTTTAGTGTCTACCCCTTCACTCCTACTTCCAAAGGTAGAGGAAGGCACCAGCTCCTGAACCTTTTAGGGATTCTCTGATGTAAGTTGGGTTGTTTGTTTTGCTTTTCTACTGCTGACTCAGGATTCAGTTTTCTCAGGGCTACCCTGTTATTTAGTACTTGTCCATCAGCTTTCCAACTTCTAGCTTTTTGCTGCTATTGTCTCCTCTCTTCTTTTCCCATTCTTTTAGATTTATACCTTAAAATGAAAATCTTTGCTGTCATTTAGTGGAATTTCAGGAGGCAGTGGAAGTAGCTGCATGTGCTCCATCTACCATCTTTACCCAAAGAGCATGTATTTTTACCCTGTGATGATGTGTTTCATGTTGGTAATTTATATCCATTCCTGACCTACAGAGGTGTGGTATATAGCACCATGGTCACGATCACTGGCTCTGAAGACAAGCAGACTTGATTTTGTGTCCTGATTCCAACACGTAGAAGATGAATGACTTTTAGCAACTGAACCTCTATATCTCATTTTTTCACCTGTAAAATTAGTGTAGTGGGAGCATCTGTCTACTTTAAAGTGTGTAAGGATAAAGTAAGAGAATGCAAGTGGAACCACGAGCACAGTGCCTGACATTTTGGTAAATGCTGTTTATTGTTAATGGTTAGTGTTTGGTATAAGGTGATTAGAAGTGATTTGTGCTAGCAGTCACTGCATTAGTAGGTTTCATTCATATTTTCAGATATTGTGAGATAGCATGTTTATATTCTAATTGTATACAAACTTAAACATTAGCAAACATTTAAATTCACTGTCTAATAACTTAATTTTACAGATGAGTTTGAGTCTCTGGAAGATCCGGTAGCTAATAAATAGGAGCTGTCCAAGGTTTAGGGGCTTTTAATGTTTATTTATTGTATCCTATCCTTAAGTGCTTTTCTTGGGATATATGGTTGTTACCCTGGATTCCAGCATATGTTCAGGCTAGAATAAGGGAAAATGTGATGGTGCAGTTTTTATTGCTGACTTCTTAAATTTCAGGCCATAAACTCCAATGTGGGGGGGCATCTAATACTTGTAATAAACAGTTTGGGCACAGTACATCAGAAAACATTTGGCCATGTGTATATATGTGGTTTGAATGTGTAATGTGAAATAGTAAAGAACCATAGCAGACTTGAGTTTTATAAACTTAAAGTGGAGGGGCGCCTGGGTGGCTCAGTCGTTAAGCATCTGCCTTCGGCTCAGGTCATGATCCCAGGGTCCTGGGATCGAGCCGCAATCGGGCTCCCTGCTCAGCAGGAAGCCTGCTTCTCCCTCTCCCTCTCCCACTCCCCCTGCTTGTGTTCCCTCTCTTTCTGTGTCTCTCTCTGTCAAATAAATAAATAAAATCTTAAAAAAAAAAAAACTTAAAATGGAGCATAGAAAGAAATGTGGATAATTGAGAAAATGTTAATCCACAAACAGGTTTTGTAGAGGGATACGATCTTAGAATTTTGCTCCTCAATTAGGGTAGTGTTCTTCCTGCTGCCACTGAGTTTCATTTTTAAACTGCTTAATCATTGCTCTTTGAAGTTCTTCTGAGGAGTAAGTTAGCATTTCAGTTACAGTGTGTTCAGTAGTTTACAGGTGGGTAAACTTGGGGCTAGATTTGGAAGGAAGAACGAGGGTAGGAATGTGAACTTTTAGGGACGCTTGGGTGGCTCAGTTGGTTGGGTGTCTGCCTTCAGCTTGGGTCATGATCCCAGGGTCCTGGGATCGAGCCCTGCATCAGGCTCCTTGGTTGGCAGGGAGCCTGCTTCTCCCTCTGCCTGCTCTGCCTGCCACTTCCTCTGCTTGTGGTCTCTCTCCCTGACAAATAAATTTAAAAAATCTTTAAAAAAAAAAAAAAAAGGAATGTGAACTCCCCCCCCACTTTGCTTGACTAAGCATATCTCTTTTACCTATAAGATCAGGCATCAGAGAGTGTTGGAGATAGGACAGAAAGGAAATCAGCTAGACCTTTTAACCTTCTGTAAAAGGTCAAAGGGTAAATATTTTAGACTTTGTGAGCTCTGTGTTCTGTCAGCTCTTCTTGCAGTGTGAAGGCAGCCACAGACAGTATGTAAACCAGTGCAGCTTTGCACTGTTAGCAGCCAAAACTCTTAGCTGCTGGGGGAATGAGGACCTTGGTCCTAAAGTTGAGATCTGGGTCGTTCACCACAACATCCACCGTAGTCCTCTTGAATCCTCACCCCTCCCCACTTACCAAGCCATTTATCTGCCGTCTTTCATAGTTAAATGCCTCAATAAAATGGTTTATTTTCATTTCCTTTCTCTGGTGATCTCTTGAACCCACTCCAGTTAGGTTCACATCCCCAGTGATCCTCTGAAACTGCTCTTGTCAAGGTTAACACTGACCTGTCCCACCCTATCTGCAGCACTCAGCACACTGTTTCGTTATTGTAACCACCTTGCAGAACTTCCAGAACACTAATTTCCTAATTTTCCTTCTCTCCATCCTTTCTATTCCACTTATCCTCTCTTCTTGAGATTCTTTTGTAGGTCCTCTTTATTCTTTTGTAGGCCCAAGTTTACTTGCAGTCCCCTAGGCTTCAGTCCTCAGACCTCTTTTTTTTAGTTACTGGATCTCCTGCTTAAAATTCTCCAATGGCTTCCTGTCTCGCTCAGAGTAAAAGCCACAGTCCTTCTGGTTGCCCACAAGGTTCTATACAGTCTGGTCCTCATTACATCTCTGATCTCGTCTTTTATGACTCTTCCCTTCTTCACTGCATTCCAGCTACACTGGCCTCCTTGCTTCCTCAAACAAACTAGACATGCTGCCTCAGGGCCTTTGCACTGTCTGTTTCCTCTGGAATGCTCTTCCCTTAGATTTTCAAGTGTCTCACTCCCTCTCCTTCAGGTCTCTGCTTAATGGCAGCTTTTTCAGTGAGACCTTTCCCAGCTCCTTTATAAATTACAGGATGTTCAACTTGTGAAAAGCCAGCAAGTTGTATACTTATGTGATTTTTTCCATAGTTACATTATATTTCTTTTTTTTTTTAAAGATTTTATTTATTTATTTGAGAGAGAGAGAATGAGAGCACAAGAGGGAAGAGGGTCAGAGGGAGAAGCAG